ACCAGTGGTTGCCGACTCCAGAGTGAATGAGTACGCGAGGAATTCATGTCAGCGGAAGGACATACATGTGCACAGACAGGTCAAAATGATTATGGCCAGCTTCCAACCAAGCGGCAACTTCCCGCGGTTTGGCGCGGACGTTGGGAGGCTAGCTACCTCGTCTTTCGGAGTCCCTGAAACGTCCTTGTTCTCGATGGAACCCTCGTTCTGAACCGACAGAGTCAAAGGTGATTCATGGCTGCCCATCGTGTAAGGCTGAAAGTTGAAAGTACGGGGACGTAGCTGTCATCTTATCAGATTTCTGACGGTGGTCTTATCAGATTTTTCTGTGAGAAGAATCCCGCCCGGACCGAGGTGCATTCCGGAAAAACCACTATTTTCGTTCTGATGCGGACCTAAATCAATGCTTCGATGCTCACCCTGTAGTTCTCGGTGCGGATCCAGTCAGAATTTGGCGATGGATCTCCACCGCAAGAATTGTGAGGCGATATCGACACGCAGAATCCCAATTTGAGATTTATCTCCATGTAAGATCGGATAAGGTCGAAGGCACATTGCCGGAAGAAGAAATTTAGTTCACAAATCAAGCGGAAAATTTCGCTCGACCTTGAATGTTTATTAAACTCTTAGTGTCGCTTTGTCGGCGGTGTGAAAGCTACCAGGGTTTCCGGCGAGTCCGGTAACACCCGAGCGAGATACCTTCCAGGCGGGGGACAGCAGCTGAACTGTAAAAGTAGTTTGTTTCCGACAGTCCGTTACCGAAATGTGCAGCACAGTAAACGGAACTCTCTGATTCCATCAGACGAACATTTCGCGGCATATGGATCTGAGCCCGACATATCCTTCCCCCGGAAGTTCGCTGGCATATCGTTCTCGCGGACAGTCGAAATTACTCCCAGCATCCCACACTCGGAGGTCCGAGGCTCTGGAGTATTTTTAAATACGAGTTGCATCTCCCCGTCGGAACTGCGCACAACTATTCTGCCGTTTGTGTGAGAGACATGCCTGCCCAGAATCGAAAGTTCCTCCCGCACTGGGATCCAGTCATATATCCAATGTCGCACGCACTATCGCCGATGTGACAGTGGCCCTGGGTGCTAACGCCGAAGAATCACACTGAATCAAGACGAGGGTGAACTTCTATATAACCGCAGGCGCGCGATTGTCGAGGTGTCCCACTGCGATTAGTTGGCGACATCGGTGCGGGATCCAAACCCAAAGCTCGGAATAAACGAAAAGTAAAATAAATAAATAAAATAGAAAACCTTATTCCATTTGGTCCCATGGCCCAGCCCCGAGTCGAACAGGTGTCCACTGTTTATGAGATCGAAAACTCGGTTCATTCGAATAGAGATCAGATCTGTGGATACCCCAATAGTGCCCAGAGAATTCTGGTAAGAAATTACCACATTGCGGTGGGCTGGACCATAATTAACGGACGAGTGGTTAAGACACATGTCGCATGATAACGGGCCTTCCCGTGCTCTGCATGGATAGATACAAGTGGAGGTTTCGGGGAGTTAACCTAGTATTCTAGGTGGGAGAAATTTAGTTGTCACCAGAAAGAACATTGGTGAGCAGGCATGGGCAGACGGGAATGATCCGCAATTTGAGCTGGGAGTTGTTGGGCCTGCGTGCCCCGCTAGAATGAATAAAAACAAGCAAGTGCGGAAAACGAAAAACTAACTCGATGTCGAAGCAAGGCCCAGCCACGACTCGAACGGGGTCGCCTGCTTAAGTTCAATGAACACCAGCCCATCATGAGCAAATGCATCCTACATGCCACGGGCGTTCCTTCGGTGGGGATGGTAGTCAGAGATGAATGAATTGTCTTTCAGGTATTCCAAGTCTAAGCCAAGCTGGAGGGTACGAGGGCTGACTGACTCTACAAAATGACCGTGTGAGATGGCAATGGATAACGATACTTAGTCCTAGGCCGGGCGGCGGAACGAAACCAGCTAACCTGTCATCCGAGGGTAGAGTGAGACGTCCCAACCTGCGCGACTCGGATCTCCTCAGTTTTGGAATTTATTTTTCCGCGAACGACCGAAGCTACGATGCGCAAGTTATCGCCAACCGCAGTGCGATACAGTACCTGGATCTGGGCGCATCCATCCCCGGCGGTATCATCCACACTCCGAGTTGCGCCCATTCGCGGCGTCGTCGATTCAGTTGGATCATCCACGTAACGGGAACGCCGGTGCATCCACGCGCGGTGCCGAAGAGCGCGGGACACGAATGCGCCGGGAGGTGCATAGTGAAACGACTCGCTCCGTGCGAGCAGTGATATAGGCGCTCTCGCACTCACACTAAGGCGCGTCAGAGCGCACCCCACTCGTCTCCCTCAGCACGCCTAACCAAGCCTTCAGCGCGGTGCGGTTCTGATTATGAGCACGGTTCTGATTTTGATTGTAGACAAACTGAGTGGGCGCAGCGTTGAATGGTAACGCCTCCGCGTCAGCGGGTTGGAGCGAATACACCGAGGAGGAGGCAGGTGGCGGGCGGAAGGGTTCACGGGGTTAACGGGCTCAGTGCCATCTCCCCCGGACCCGAATGGGAACAAGGCGATGCAGACGCGGAAAAATTCGCCGGGTGCTGCGTGTGCGAGCGTCGAGGCGTGGCGCAGGGGGTGCGTCGGGGGCGAATTAAAATTGACAGCATGGCTCGTGATAGAGACGGAACTGAGATGGCCGCTCGAACTCGTGAATGAGATGGAATTGGAGTTTGTTGCCGAGGGGCGGCGGCGAAAAGGGCAGGAGTACGCGTGTGCGCGCCTGTGCACCGGCGCGGGGGCGGGGCTGGATGCAGCAGACGCAGACACAGAGGGCGAGGAAGTAGAGGACAAGCTCGTGGTGCTAGATTCAGACGACGCGCCGTAGTTGCTCGTTGACCTACTAGTCCTACTCATCCGGAGCGTGCAGGGGCGAGACTCAGGTGAGGGCGCGGGTTAGGGGAGGAATGGGTTCGCCGCTGATGCTGATGGGCGGCTCGCATCGGGGACGGGGGCTAGCAACAGATGAGAATCAGCACGCATCGCCGGCCCGCGGATAATAACCAAGCCTACCTTGGACAAACGCGAGACTGAGATAAATGGAGCTCCCAGCCTGCGTGTGCAGCACCAGTCGCAGCAGCGCAAAAGAACGCGCCGCCGCCGAGGGTGGGCACGGGGAAGACGAAGGATCTGTGCAGTAAGCATTTCAGTTGAGTGATATGAAGTCAAAAACACACCTCATCGATCGCCCCAGTCCTCAGCGAGGCATACCGCCCGCAAAGCCACGCCCACGCCCACGCTCACACTTGATCCCTCCCAATCCATTGCAATGTTGTCATTTGAGGTTGAATCGACACGCGCGAGGTAGGCGAAGCCGGCGGTGAATAGAACGTGCTCGTCCTCCTCGGCAGACGGGTGCAGCGAGAGTCGGCGCGCGGCCATCACTCTGGAAAATCCGAATTTTCGGGGCCACTGATAATGTTCCCGAAACCTAAAGTTTCAGGAACGGAATCGGTGCTCCCGAAACCGTTGCCGAAACCTTTGGTTTCGGCAGCGCAAAAACCATTCCCGAAACGGAAGGTTTCGGGAACGGTTTCCGACCACCCGAAACCTTCCGTTTCGGGAACGGTGTCGGCTTCATTGAAACTGCTCCTGAAACCTTTGGTTTCGGGAATGGTTTCTGGAGAGCCGAAACCGTTGCCGATACTTTTGTTTTCGGGAACGGATTCGGTGTCCCCGAAACAATAAGTATCGGCAACGGTTTCGGCGCGCCAGAACCTGTTCCCGAAACCTAAGGTTTCAGGAGCACTGAAGCCTAACTGCAGCTGAGCTGCAGCTCAGAGGCCGCTCAGCTGCAGCTTGCATAAAATTCAGAGGCAACTCATAAAAGTCAGCGGCAGCTCAGCTGCAGCTTAATTGAAACAAATTATTTACGAACCTCAACAGAATTACATATAGCTCCAACTGCAAAAAAAGCCGAACATAACTTGCGGGGTCATCTAAGAAAATGGCTTGTAAAAAGAGGCTCAGCTTAGATCAGTTGACAAAAAGAGAGAAGAATGAGACAAGACGAACAATTATTTCCTTGCTAGTTTACATTTGTACACAAGTTTGTTTAAAGAAATTGTTTTAATTTTGCTGCAGCACAGCTGCCGCTGACTTTTATGAGTTGCTTCTGAATTTTATGCAAGCTGCAGCTGAGCGGCCTCTGAGCTGCAGCTCAGCTGCAGTTAGGCTTCAGTGCTCCTGAAACCTTAGGTTTCGGGAACAGGTTCTGGCGCGCCGAAACCGTTGCCGATACTTATTGTTTCGGGGACACCGAATCCGTTCCCGAAAACAAAAGTATCGGCAACGGTTTCTGGAGAGCCGAAACAAAAGGTTTCGGCTCTCCAGAAACCATTCCCGAAACCAAAGGTTTCAGGAGCAGTTTCAATGAAGCCGACACCGTTCCCGAAACGGAAGGTTTCGGGTGGTCGGAAACCGTTCCCGAAACCTTCCGTTTCGGGAACGGTTTCTGCACTGCCGAAACCAAAGGTTTCGGCAACGGTTTCGGGAGCACCGACTCCGTTCCTGAAACTTTAGGTTTCGGGAACATTATCAGTGGCCCCGAAAATTCGGATTTTCCGGAGTGCATGACATGGTCAGTGGAGTGGGTAAGCAGGTTAGCGTAAGCGGCGCGTTAGCCGACTTGCCGAACACGTGGGTGGGATCTGCGTCCAAAGGTTGAAATTGGGTTGAAAAGAAGAGTGGACGGTAGCCTCATCATATATCCGTAGCAACTTATTGTCTGCAAGCTTTTCATGGCCAGAATGCGTTAAGTGAATGTAAGTCACCTAGTCACCATCGACCACTCTCCATCCAATTACTTACTATAGGATTATGAAGTTTGAACTCAGCCATCCTTCATCGGGACACAGCTCAAAAATCCCGCCCACGGGAGAAAAAAACGACCTGTGTACGAAATAAAAAAATAAAACAAAAAAAAGGTCTTCACTCTTAGCCACATGCATGGCCCAGCCCGGAGTCGAACCGGGAACCTCTGCTTATGGACTTCACGTTGAATCAAAAATGGCAGATTCATCCCGCATGCCACTGGGCCTTCCTGTGCTCTCAGCTCTGTAGGTCTGAGTCCTTCACAGGATAGGCAACTTTTCTGTGAATCCTCAAAGAATGGACAGTGTGCTTGACCACACGAAGTGTGGGCCACGGTGGACAAGGTATTAATCGAGATCCACTCGTGACTCATTCCACTTCCTGCTCCACATAGCTGATTCTGTGGAAGTATCCACACCCAGTGCTCAGAATCTGGGAATCAAAAATAATATATCCTCCAGCGATGACCCATGGCCCAGCCCGGAGTCGAACCAGGTGGTCTGCTTATATCCTACAGAGTACCGCATTGCAAAATCAATGGCAGATGCATACCGCATGCTACTGGGCCTTTCTGTGCTCCATAAACCGTTCATTATGTGCGATCAACTCTCTCTTCATCAATGCAGAGCAAATGCAGAGTATTGGAACTCTATGGTTTGAATTATTTGCTGCAGGGCGTTCATATTAATATTTAAGGCCGCAGGACTCGGGCACGCGCGATGTATTCACATTCTGCACTGAAATCTGTGAATCAAGAAAGCTGAATCTGGGGAAGAAAAATGAGTCTACACAGCCGCATAGCCCAGCCCGGAGTCGAACCGAGTTATCTGCTTGAAATCAGACTCAAGAAACTATCCATCACGGATTCATACCGCACGCTACCGGGCCTTTCTGTGCTCTGTGCTCAGTTAATGTTCACCATCGACCACTCTATATGGACTCCATCCAATTATTTATGAAGTTTGACCGCAGCCGCAGGTGATGAGCTAGGCAGGAGGTTAGGACTTTCATCGAGACGCAGCATAAAAACCCTGCGCACTAAAGCAACAAAATACGCAACAAAATGCGCAACAACAGAAAAAAAGGTCCTTCGACATTTCATGGCGCCTCCCCGAGTCGAACGGGTCCTCTGCAGTAGAACTCTATATCTAAATAATGGTGCGGCGCATGCCACGGGCTTTTCTGTGCTCTGTCTATTTTAATACTTCAGGAAGGGCGATTTTTCTGTGGATAATGGAAGGATACGTGACATGCTTCAGCCGAGCGTAGAAATGATTAATCAACATCCTACCATACTGTTTCCCCCGTACTCACTGCAACAGATTCCAAGACACCGCTCCTCAGAACGCGTGAATAAGAAAACTGAATTCGGGGTGGAAAAAAAGAGTCATTGCTCGTCCGAATTATGGCCCAGCCCAGAGTCGAACCGGGGGTGTCCACTTATACCATCGCAGGCAGCAAATATTGATAGCAGATGCATACCACATGCTACGGGGCCTTTGTATGCACTGCAGATTTGAATAGTTCAGGAAGGGCAATTTTTCTGTGCATAGACTACGTGTTCTTCAGCCGATGAAGTGTGCCTAGATATATACTCGAGCTCCACCCCTTCCGCTGTGGGCCATCCTGCAACTGCTTTCGAGGAGATACTAATAATATCAACATTGAAAATGTGTGAATCGATCAAGCTGAGTTTAGGGACAAAAAATCTCCTATGCCCGGAATAGTGGCCAGCCCGGAATTGAACTGGGTTGTCTGCTCACATTGAATCGGCTACATCAATGGCAGATGCATATCACATGCTACTGGGCCTTTCTGTGCTATGTTGATCTGGATGTTTGAGGGAAGGCAATTTTTCTGTAGATCCTGGACGAATATTTTGTTGTTGAGTCGATGAAGCATAGAAAGATTTTTGGGGCAAGGGGCAAAATTAATCCACCTACTCCCTTCTGGTGCGTAATCTACGTCAACTCATTGCGATGCAGTCGCTGCGGAAAGCAGCACATACTTCTGAGGAGATTTTAACGGTCTCCACACCCGGCGATTGGAATGTGTGGACCAAAAAAGCGAATTACAGAAGAAAACATGTATGGCGTGTTGCACTGCATGGCCCAGCCCGGAGTCGAACCGGGTTATCTACTTATACTGCAGTAATTCAACATCAATGGCAGAGGCGTACCGCATGCCCCGGGGACTTTCTGTACTCTATGGATGATCTAGATACTTTACTGTCAGGAGAAGGAACTCTCAAGTTTGTGGAATCGCAATATGTTCCGGTCAGGAAGTAGCCGCAAGGACAAAAGTCCCCGGTGGAGATCTGGGTGTGCGAGGAATGGGAGATCCCGGAAAAAACACCTAGCGGTCTTCATCGGATGAAGACTGGGTGAAGAAAAATTAGTCGACCTCCACCCCTCCCGCGGAAAACAGCGTACCATCCCACCTAGAACTCTGGAGGATTTTCAAATCTGAAGTGCATCCCCACGTCGGAACTGGCCATGACTCTTCCACCGCCCGTGTACGAGACATGACTTTCAGCCTGTGGACCACGCGAGTATAATAAACCCCCCCCCCCATGACCATTCAGAATCCAAAGTGCTTCATCCACTGGGATCCAATGAACTCTCTCTGAAGGAAGGTTGAATTACGACAATCACAACAGTGACGGGCGAGTTATAAAGTTCGTCGCATGCACCTACATAGGTGCCGACGCCGATGAATGACACTAAATCGGGATGACGGTGAATTTCTATTAACCAGAGGCACCGGATATTGCGCCATTGTCGAGGTGTCCCGTCAGCCTTAGCTGGGTGTTGTAGGAAATAGGTGACATCGACCCCTGCGTGATTCCACCCCAGAGCTCGGGATCAACGAAATATATTTTCCAAAAAGAAAAAGAAAGCTTTCTCCTTTTCGATCCATGACCCAGCCCTGAGTCGAACAGGGGCCCACTACCTATGAGATCGATCGGTCAGGTCATTAGAATCGAGAGCGGACGCACTTCGCATGCTACCAGGCCTTCTATGCTGGATGGGTACACCAATATTGCACAGGGATATTGGGCAGGAAAACTATCTCGTGGGGGGTGGACCATGGATTTATGTATATGGACGCGTGGAAAGAAAGTGCAAGCCTGGTGTTTGGACAAAATCACTAAGCGGTGTTGCAGAGCCGTATGGCCGGTGTGTGGAAACTCAACCACATGCTGGTTTCGGTTTCAGCCAGATTTATTTTTATTTTACTTACATCATTTATTTGGCTAGTAAATACGCACCCACGGTGCCGGCAAATAATCATTCTACGTCTTACGCTCATCTGTGCGAGCCAGTGCGGCCTAGTGGCCAAAACTCCGTGTCTTACTGTGTTTATCTTCGACCTACGTAACCTCGACCATACGCACTCGGTGTGTCTTCGAAATCACGGATTCATGCGGAATCCGTCTCGTGCCCATTTCTACGACTACCCTCTCGATCCACGTCTCTATCACCCAACCTATACCCTCGTCTCCTTTCTCCTACCCATCTTTTCTATTCTAAAATCGAACGGCCACCGACCCAATTCAAGAACCCGCCTCCCGGGCATTCTGCCCTACCACAGCGGAGGAACGTGAACGAAAAAAAAAAAACATCAATACATACCACAAATGGCCCGGCCCCGAACGGGGATCTCGCAGTAGAACCTCAACTACCCGATGCATGACATGTTACCGGGCTTCCTACAGCCTGGCAATGTTCACCTGTGGAGAGATAAAATTAAAAAGCAGGGGAGACGAAAATGATAGTCGTACAAAAGAAATTCTGATTAAATGCCACGCCTGAGGACGAATAAAAGGCATTGACACCAGAGTCTACAACGTATGTTTCATTATCAAAAGATGGAGATTGGGATACATGAAGCAAGACAGGATCGAAAGAAGAACACTGCAATCACTGCGTTCAGACCCCCCCGTAGGCACAGGTCTGCCAGATCCTGATAGGCAGATGTGTAGGCAGACCAGTGTGCCGACCCTTGCCCATCCATCTGCCCATCCCCGCCGAGGTTGGTCTAGGTATTCCCACTGGATTAGGCACACATAGACTCACGTGGGCCGATGAGCCTAGCTAAGCCTAGTTAGCCAAATTCAAAATCTGACATGGTTTGTACCCGTCCAGCCATTCCAACCAACACCAACCTAGACCCAGGTCGGCCAAGGTTGACCAAGGTTGGCCAAGATAGACACACCACTGTCGGTGAAGATCTACCAAGGTGGGCAGGCTTTGCCTCGGTAGGGATGCTAGACCAACGTTGGCCAATGCCTATTAGGGTAGACCAACGTCGGCTTGGGTGGGCAGTCCGTAGGCGGGGATCGGTGAAGGTGGGCACATCTGTGCCTATGGGGGGGTCTGAATGCAGTGAATCCAAGAAACAGGGGCAAGAAGACAAAAAAGCATATCTGCTCTTGTATATAGCCCAGCCCCGAATCGAACAGCGTCCGCAATTGAACCACACTGGTATTCAGTGGGCAGAATATGGTGCATGCATGGTGCGTGCTACCGGGCCTTCCTGTGCTCTGTCAATAGATCATTAATCAGTAGACGTTTCGGACAGTTAACTTCAGAGAAAATTAGTTGTCCCCGGAAATTGGAGATAACTGGGGACGGAGGATGGAATTCATCGGAACGAAAGGCATCCGAGTCGTTGGTAGGATCCCGGACGCGATTTATTGACGCAAAGAACAGGGATGTGAGAACGAATAAATGGAGTGGGAAAGGTCAAAAACAGCATTAATATTCTCGCTATGGCGTGGCCCTGAGTCGAGCGGCACGGCGGATGCATCGGCAGCGCTGGGGACATGACGTTGTTGATTCTACCACTCGCGATAGAGATGGAGTTGGAATAGGTGCTTGCTGTTGGCATGGAATTTGTTGGTGGAGCGGCGGACAGGGAGGAGGACAGGGAAGACGAGTACGCGTACCCGTGCCTGCGCGCCGCCATGAGGACGGAGCTGGATGGAGACAAAGACGCAGACGCAGAGGAGGAGGACGTAGATGACAAGCTGGGGCTAGATTGCGGCGAGTCGCTATACTTGTTGGTTGTGGTTAACCTATCACTCAGCCGGAGCGGGCGGGGGCGCGACTCGTGGGGCGCTGGTAGGGAGGAACGCGCTGCTGATCTTGATGTGCGGCTCGTAGCGGGGACGTGAACAAGATAGAGACAGATGAGATGAGCATCAGCACGCATCGCCGACAG